TTTCACCTTTTTGCTTTTTCCACAGAAATTGCTTTGTAGTCATCATTGTAAGAAACATGAACCCAGACAGAGATACTGGAATTACAGAGTCTGAAGAAAATAAAACCAGCAACAAAATCAAGGATGAACGGGAGTAATTATAGATCCAGGAAAGAAAACATTTCTTTTGATCATTTTAAGGCAGGAAAATTTTTTTTGTGCAACAGCTACTAACGGGTCTAGGAACAATGTGTTCCAGATATGAGGAATGAAAACAGCCTAAAATCTGTTTCAAATGAAGCATCTCTTCACTTGACAAAAATGTGCTGTCAATACTTACCATTCATCCCATCTTCCCCAGAATATTTTTTAAAATTTGGAAGCTCCTGTGTTGACCTTGATCTACTTCTACTGCTAAAATCTTATTTTAAGATTTAACATCATAGAAGTTAATTTCTGAAACAAATAACACATTCAGCCCCTTTTAACCCCAAACAAAAGCCCTGCAGGAAGCTCTGAGCCCAGAGAAAACCAAGGCATGAGTTGGTCTGAGTTGTCAAAGCCACTTTCAGGGAACAGGATGTATGAGACTGACATTACCACAGACACACATGTCCAACCAATGTATCAGTTCATAAAATCCAAATTTCTTCTCACTAAGCCAAACCAACCTTAAACCCTAACCTTTCTTGTGTCTTAGATATTTATATAGTTATCAACATTCATGTATTTATGCTGGCAATAGTGTTGTGAAGTAGGGAAGTGCTGTTATTTCCAGGCTGAACACCCCAACTCTCCCAGCTGCTCCAGCCCAAGGATCATCTTCATGGCTTCCTTTGGATTCTCTCCAGGAGCTCCATGTCTTTCTTATCTTGGGGCTCCAGATCTGGCCACAGTTCTCCAGGTGGGGTGTCACCAGAGCAGAGTAGAGGGGCACAATCTCCTCCCTGGCCTTGCTGCCCACACTGCTTTAGATGCAGCCCAGGACTGACCACCAGGCAAAGCCTCACAAACACCCATTTAGAGAAGCCCTACCCACATGAGAAACACACCCCAGAAACAATGCCATGGAGGGGGACATCCCAAAGACCACTTCCCTTACATCAAAGGAACACCAAGCTCTTGCAGCACAATAAAAGCAAGATGTCCCCACGTACAGCACAGGGTAACTGTCAGAGGAAGACTGCAGCACACAGCATACAGACACCAGGAGTAAGTCCTACCCAAACAAGCTCTGCTACCTTATTCAAAAAGCTAACTTTCTGTCATAATAAAAATGTCCAGCTTTAAAGACATGTTAATACTAGAGAGGAAGATCTCCTTTTGCCTTGCCTTCAATTATTTTTGCTCCAAACACTTACAGCATATTCATCTGGAGACCAGTATCAAAGCAATCCTATGCAAATGTGTAAGGTATTAATACAGCAAGTGAAACTGAAAAGCATTTAACAAGTGACTGTCCTTACCTTCAGCACAGCAATGAATGGTACAAAATTAGCTCTCTGAAGACCATTTTTATAGAGATCTGAAAGAAAGAAAATCAGCACCATTTCGCTACTTAGTCTTAAGAGCAATGTCAGCTTGTCTTTTAGTCTGGCAAATAAAACTCAGTGTTGCTAGAGGAGGAGGAACAAAAGGCAGAAAAGGAGAGCTGGAATTGATTTCTCCTCTTTTGCTGTATGAAAATTCAATACATCCTTAAGGAAGAATGAAACATCCTGAGCAAGTGTGAAAAAGGAGTGAAAGAGGAATTAAATCTCTTAACAACAGGTAACTGATCTTTGCAGAAGAAATAAGACCAGCATCTGCTTTAAACTAAGGTTATAGAAAAGGATTTGTAATGCTGGGTAGACATTGGTATAGTTATAAGGCCAAAACTACACAACTGTTAAGCCTCAGGTACTTGTCAGAGGAAAAGAATAATAATAATTTTTAAAAAAAAAAATCAAACTAAAAAGACACTCACTTTACAAACTTAGTATCATTCTTATTCCATGTACTCTGGTACACTTTATCATCTAGCAAATTCTACCAGGTACATTCCCTTTTCCAAAGAGGAAAACAAAAAAGTCATCCCTAAGGCTAAAAAAAAAAAAAAAAATCAAATAAAAAAAGTCTGTAAACTTATGCAAAGTTGCCAAAAGCACAACTGAATTCTTATGAAAAAATTAGAATTATGTAACAAAATGCAAATTTGCACTCAAAGAAAAGAGTAATTATAAAAAAACAAACTGCAAAGCAGCATTTCATGCTGTATAAAATAAACAGAAAAGTAAAATCTAAAGTTCTCTTCTCTGGAAAGTATCCAACTGCCCAACATGTAGATAACAGAGTAACTTACTCATTGAAAAAGAACTTAAAACTGTAGGATGGGCTGCTCTTTTTCATCAATACAAGGAAGCCTTATAAAAAGGCAGCACAGCACCTGTGGCTGTCAGGAAAACCAGATGAGATAATACAGACACCTGGTGGAGATGTCACCAAAACTTCTGGGGCCAAGACTATGCCAGGTTATTAAATACCACCTATATTCCCCATAATGCCTGAAGGCTACAACTAGCTAAACTAGCTAAAGCTTTTTGTGCTCTGCCAACACCTAGTGCTGGACAGAAGAGACAATGTGCATGAGAAACCAACAGGAAACCTACAAAATGTTTTTAATAAAATTGGATAGGCACAGAGAAACACTTACTTGTGAAAATTAGTAAACGTAACAAAACTGTAAGACAGCTACTTCTGTTAGTTCTTCTAGTTAATAATCATAGAATGGGTTGGGTTGGAAGGGACCTTCAAGACCATCCAGTTCCAAACCCCTGCATGGGCAGGGACACCTCCCACCAGACCAGGTTGCTCCAAACCCCATCCAACCTGCCCTTCAACACTGCCAGGGATGGGGCAGCCACAGCTTCCCTGGGCAACCTGGGCCAGGCTCTCACCACCCTCACACTCCACAATTTCCTCCTCATGTCTCACCTCAATCTCCCTCCTCCAGTTTTCATTCATTCCCCCTTGTCCTCTCCCTCCCTGCCCTGGTCCCAAGCCTCTCCCCAGCTTTCCTGGAGCCCCTTCAGGCCCTGGAAGGTGCTCTAAGGTCTCCCTGGAGCCTTCTCTTCTCCAGGCTGAACACCCCAACTCTCCCAGCCTGCCTCCAGAGCAGAGCGCCTCCAGCCCAAGGATCATCTCTGTGGCCTCCTCTGGACTCTCTGCAACAGCTCCATGTCCTTCTTATGCTGGGGGCTCCAGAACTGGCCACAGTTCTCCAGGTGGGGGCTCACCAGAGCAGAGCAGAGGGGACAGTCCCCTCCCTGGCCCTGCTGCCCACACTGCTGTTGATGCAGCCCAGGACACGAGTGGTTTCTGGGCTCCAGGGCACATTGCTGGCTCACGTTGACCTTTTCATCGACCAAATATAAGTCTATAAAGCTGTGACGTTTGTATTATGTATCTGGTTTATGAGGATTGGACAAATAAGCAGTAATTTTGGTGGATAAATGAAGCCAGGATCCCTCAAACACTGCACCTGAGTATCTGTGAGAGGTGTCCCTGCCCATGGAAGGGGGTTGTACTGGATGATCTTTAAGGTCCTTTAAATTTGTGACTTACTATGTATTAAAAAACCTCACAGGGTGATAATAGTCACACATTGACATCTCAATTTAAGATGGGATAGAATCCCTAAGTTATACTAAAAATGTCTCCAGAAAAGTGCCTCCAAAATTACAAGGCTGGTTCCCAACTGAGTAAGGCAAAAGTGCCCAGTTTATCTGTAGTTAACCCAACTACAGTAGTTGTGATTTCATCTTATTTCCTCAAACAAGGAAAAATAAACCAATGGGAAATTATTCCCCCTTCTATAAAAACACTTGAGTGTTTTCTTCTTTTTTTTTTTAAGACAAAGCACATTGTAAATATTTATTGGTTCTATTCTACTGAGTCAATTTGGATAGAAAAAATAACTGGTACAATTAATACAGTAACTCCAGTATTTTTTTGCAAACATTTCAAATTAATCTGTAGTGCCATAAAAGTTACACTATATTAACTTCTAATGCTACAGTATCACAGACATTTTTCTTCTCTGAGTAAAATTATAATTAGTGCTTGGTTAAAACCCATGCAGATTTGGGGACTCTGTAGAAGGATCTACCCAGCTAGTCGTTCTTTTTATAAAAATATTGTTAGAAATGGAAACAACTTTCTAACTAATTCCCAAACAGTGACCTCAAAGCAAGGTGTGAGAATGGCATCTAGATAAGGAGTTCTCCCTTGCAACTGGTGGAACAAGTCTGCAAGCTTCCCAGTTAGAAACCAGCAAGGAATGTTCTCTCATTTCCCCTTTCTTCTGCAGAATGTGATCTTTTCCTATCCTGGAATACATCCAAAAGAGGAAATATTTCAGCCCTCCTCAACTCCCCTGTCCCCATATACCCTCCCACTGGTCTGAAGAGAGAAGGATCTGGGGAGAGGAGGGGGAAGGAACACCTTGAGTTTGAGAGAAGAAAGGAGAAGACTTAGTGAAAAACCCTTATTGCTTATGAACACAAAAAACCAGGGGACAGATACGAGTGCATCAGATTCTTGAAGGCTAGAGAGTTTCTTAGTATTAAATACAACTGTTTTGTAAAATACTGAGATTAATTGTATTTGGATAACAGTAACAGCATGTTTGTTTTTACCTTCTGGAGGCCTGTTAGATGTTGCTACCACGACAACCCCATTTTGGAAGAGATTTTCAAAAAGCTGCTTCAGAATCATGGCATCAGCAATGTCAGTGACCTGCAGGAGACAACACATTTGTTTTATCTTCCTCTCAGCTTCTGCTGCAATAGATCTGCAAGTGGCTTTATAGCTAGGAAAAATGCTTGTTAGTGAAAGCCATGGAGAAAGATTCTAATTATTGCTTGGTGAGGAAAAAAAAATAAAAGGGATAATTAATAAGCAGTGAATGTACCACAGTCTTTTAAAACTTGCCTGTTCTTTATTGCCCGACTCCACCATTTCTTTACCAATTGCTAAATGATTCCTGTGTTAACTTCTATTATAAAACTACAGGTGGGAGACACAGAAAGCAGACCTAAACATTTAAGGGGCCTAATTAATTAGAAACAACATGAAAAAAAAACAACCCAGAAGACAGGAGAAAATACACACCAGCTGTTTTACATTTCTATTACCTTTGAGGCAAAGGTTTGCAGAGGTGAATATAAATGGTCATGGGACTTCAGAAATAAAGACAAGTAGCCAACTATACATAATCAGCTGCTGTTGAAAATAGAATGATATGACATAGATACTATTGTGTGATTGTTGCAAAAAACAATTCAACAGATGGCCCATCACAAAAATAAGCAATTTCATTGTTCTTTTTAAGTGCCTTCTATTACTGTCCATGAATAATCAAAAGGCACGGCAGTCACTTCCAGCACAGTCAGCCTCTTCTAACCTTCAGGCACAAAACACTAACAAAAAATAAAAATGAGTGAGATGATACTGGGGAAGGGAAAAAAAATATTAAAATAAGGCTGAAAAATAAGCCATGAAGTAAAATTTAATTAAATAGTTTAGCTTAACTAACTTGCTTTACAGTGGCAAGAAACAAAATTGCAAAACAGAAACCACCCTGTACAAATGCAAAACATGTGATATTATTTGTAATAACTATTATTTGTAAAAAAATCAATATGTAATAAAAAAGCCCCCATTGTTACCCTAGCAATTTCTATTTCACAGTTCACCAGCTGAGATCAGCAACCCTAATAAGTATACCAACTTCAGCATCATGACATTTGTTTCTCCTGCCTTCCCTTTGATTATTACAGTCACTTGTTGCATTCTGACTTACCAAAACAGACAATTCTGAGGAGATAAAAAAGCAGTGGCATGCTGAGAGTTACACGGGCTTGTAACACAAGAGACTGACAGCTTTGCCAGCTCAGATGTGTATGTTGTGCAAGCATCTACAGAAAGACTTCAGCCAGTATGATTTTTTTTCCCCTACTCTCCCACCACCACCACATCCCTCATCACTCCCCCGTTCCTAAATGGCCTTTCTGGGCAGCACAAATAATTTAATTCTACACTAGAGACAGGAAAAGCCTTAGGTTACATTTCTGAGAGCTAGTTTGGAAGCAATTATGTTCATAAGGAACCATATGTAAACATGTTTCCTTCTTCCAAAGATTTCTTCTGATTAGTTCTACGAAATACATTCATTTAGAGGGTTTTTTGCCTTTTTCAAAAACAGCCTTTTTACACAGTCAGTAACAGACCCCTCAGACCTGCACATTTCTGATCACCAAGGTCCACTATTCCAAAAAGCAGGTGGTAATTGACTATTGTTCCATGTGTCTAACATACCTGCTTATGCACCCACCCACCAATAATTTACTTCTTCTGAACATTCCCTGTTCCTAAAACACATGAGGAATCAGTATTTTAGGGGTAACTGAACTTCTTGTGTCACAAAGCAAACCTAACAGTCAAGTTTTTTAAAACTCTATGTGTACAATGTATATCTGCATATATGTATTACATAAGTCCTTTTGATACAAACTTTTTTTGTTTAAAAATACTACAAGGCATATGCTACTTTTAGAAAACAAGGAGGGAAACAATATTAATGGTCACAAAGAAGGAAACAGTAACATCCTCTTATTAATGAGAATGGTTATTTGAGGCAGAATTCTGATGTTTTTGACTTCATCACAAAAAAAACCCCACAACTCTTAAAGTTCTGTGAAAAAGCAACAGCAGTTCTGAGAACTGGGATGCAAATCTGAATTCTTTTTATCAAATACAGCTTGGGAAAGACAGAAAATTTCTACAAGGCAAAGCAGGTAGAAGACAGTAACTAAAGCACTTTCATTTCATAGCATCATAGAGTGGCTGGAGTTGGAAGGGATCTCTGAAGATCATGGAGTCCAACCCCCCTGCTGCAGCAGGAACACCCAGGGCAGGTCACACAGGAACGTGTCCAGGTGGGTCTTGAAAGTCTCCAGAGCAGGAGACTAGACAGCTTCTCTGGGCAGCCTGTCCCAGGGCTCCCTCACAGGAAAGAAGTTTCTCCTCATGTTGAGGTGGAACTTCCTGTGTTCTAGTTTGTGTCCATTGCCCCTCGCTCGTCCTATCACAGGCAGGTGCAGTGTGGTACAAGGAGGTCCATCCTTCTGAACAAGTCCTGGTGCAGGGATGAGTGCTGCCATATTGACAAAGCAACCACTGAAGTGAAGTGTCTGATCTAATCTCTGCTTGCGCTTCGGCATGGTGTGAAACACAAGAACCATTTAACATCTCATGCAAATCAGATCCGCTATTGTTATTGTATCACCATAAATATTTGAATATATTGTTTTCACTTTTTCAGCAGTAAGCTAAGGTCTTGGTTGGATATTATTTCACAGTTTAAGGCAAACTCATTTATGTCCAGGCAAGTGCAACCAACACTTTTAATGAATTTTTACAATGAGGTGCTGTGCAGCATAGTGCACTTCACATTGTTTTGTGTGCAGTTACAAGACTTACAGGTACAGAAAAAAAGCAGAAAAAAGAAAATCCTCAAAACATACGTTTATTTTGTTCCTTTTTAATATGTGGAATGGCAAAATGATTTATTAGGCATTCACCTAGCAGTGAGTGCTACAGAGACATATTATGTAGTCAAGGTCTCAGGGTGCTACATTTTTAAGGCAAGGAAGAAACAAGTATGTATCAGACTACCTAAGAAAAAACACTAAAATTAGACATTTTTAATTAGAAAACCAAAGCCTGATTTCAGGGGTATAAAATGAGTCTTAACATTCTAAAAAAATGAATGTCCTGTAGTTAATCTAGAATCACAGAGTCACAGACTATTTGGGGTTGGAAGGGATCTCTGAAGATCATGGAGTCCAACCCCCCTGCTGCAGCAGGAACACCCAGGGCAGGTCACACAGGAACGTGTCCAGGTGGGTCTTGAAAGTCTCCAGAGCAGGAGACTAGACAGCTTCTCTGGGCAGCCTGTCCCAGGGCTCCCTCACAGGAAAGAAGTTTCTCCTCATGTTGAGGTGGAACTTCCTGTGTTCTAGTTTGTGTCCATTGCCCCTCGCTCGTCCTATCACAGGCACCACTGAACAGAGACTGACCCATTCCTGACCCTTCAGGTATTTATAGACATTAATTAGATCCCCCCTCAGTCTCCTCCTCTCTGGACTAAACAGCCCCAGGTCTCTCAGCCTTTCCTCATCAGACAGATGTTCCAGTCCCTTCATCATCCTTGTAGCCTCCCTTGGACTACTCCCAGTAGATCCCTGTCCCTCTTGGACTGGGGAGCCCAGAACTGGACACGACACTCCAGATGTGATCTTACTAGGGCTGAGCAGAGGGGCAGGAGAACCTCCCTTTCTCTCCCTCACTCCCCTTTCCCATGGTTTTACTGTATCCAGCATTCATTGCAACAAGGAACAAAAGCAAAGGCTACAAATTACCACTAAGGAGAGCCTGCTAACGGAGAGAAGGGAGAAATTTCATTAGCATTTAAGAGAAAAGATTTTTATGACCTAGTGCTGCTTTCCATTATAACTCATGTAGGAAAAAAAAAGGAAAAAAAAAGAAAAAACACTAGACTAATAGTTAATTTACATGTGTAAGTGCCTGAGACTCAGTCATCCACTGATTGGTACAGTTCCATGTAGTGAATGGCAAACATAAGCATGTATTATCAGTAATTAGTATTAGCACAAAAACAAGAGCCTAATTTTTATTAGAGCCTGTTAACAGCATGTAAGTTAGAAAAAACTCCCTAAACTGTAGTTTGCTTTAAGTCCCAGTGGTACCAATGGTACAGATAAACACTAACACTTTATAAACATCCAGCTTATCAAGGAGTAAGGATTTTATTCTCATTATCAATATTAACTAGGACAGGTTACATTTACATGCCAAAATTAGAGTTTCTAATTACCTATGTCTAGTTACTTAATTGCTAAACAATAGCTAGTTTCTTTTTGTTGGCCAGACTGTGTTTTAAAACATCAAAATTACAATTATAAATGGATTCATTCAAGGGTTATTTCTTGAAAGTGAGGACACATTTTTAGAAAGGCTGAAGACTTTTGTGATTTTAAAAGAAAAACACTTCAATATTTATAGTAAACTGTGTGACAAAGATCAGGAGGAAGTAGCAGCTCTTTAATAACCCAAGGACCTGAGGCTCAGGTTAGTGCCAACAAAAAACCTGCTTCAGAATGGACAAACTCAGAAGCTTAGTGCCATCACTGTGCTCTTGGCTGTCACACACTAACAGAATCATAGAATCATCAAGGCTGGAAAAGACCTTCAAGATCATCAAGTCCAACCATCAGCCCTGCATCCCTGTGACCACTAAACCATCTCTCAAGACACCATGTCCACCTGTTTGTTGACCCCTCCAGGGATGGTGCCTCCACCACCTCCCTGGGCAGCCTGTTCCAAGGCCTCACCACTCTTCCTGTGAAGGAATTTTTCCTCACATCTAATCTGAACTTCCCCTGGTACAACTTGACCCCATTTCCTCTGGTCCTATCACTGGTCACCACAGAAAAGAGGCCAACACCCACCTCACTACAGCCTCTTTTCAGGCAGCTGTAGAGAACAATGAGGTCTCCCCTCAGCCTCCTCTTCTACAGGCTGAACAGCCCCAGCGCTATTTGCAATAAGAAACATTTAAGACATAGTAATTTACTTTTTTTTAATACAACCAAATTTCAGATCACACAAAACTACTTTTTAAAAGACTGAAGTATTTTTCTACCTCAATTAGACAACTTTCCACTTGTTCAGCAGTTCTCTAGGCTTTACAAGAAGAGGTACTTCCAAAGAGGAGTGTCAAACCTCAGCAATGCTTTGGAAGGTGTGCATTTGGTTTCCTCTGAAATATGAGCACTAAGAATACTTTCTGCTGTCCTTGTTACAACATCACTCATCTACGAGTCTGATCTTTATATAAATATATTCAGATTATTTCTCTTTTGTTTTCCAACAGGTATTAGAAAGATGAAGTGTTTCATGCAAATCTCAATAGTTTTGTGGTGTTTCCTCCACACACAAGCATTTTGCCAAAGTTGTGTAGAGCCAACTTGACTTTATAGCTGTCAAAGCAGACAGCAGCTTTGTCTGCAAGGCAGAGCAGTAATTGTTCTGATTTTCCAGCTCTTTTCAGTTTCATTTTCATCTATGATTTCTTTAAATAGGAGTGAAGCAGATTGCAGTGAAATCTCCATTATCTCTACTAGGGAAATGAGCTTTAAACAACCTGAATTAAAGATGACTCGTTATTAACAATGTTAATTGTGTCACCAGGTGAGCAGCTCTTCCAGTCACTGCACAACCTTGTTACTATTTAAGCAGAAGGTTTCCTATCCTAAATTCAGTGCCTTCTGCAGGATTTAAGACAGCTGGAACTCCTCTTCAGTAGACAAAGCCTACATAAAATCAGTCAAGAAATCCACCTGTTCAGAAATCTATGAATTTAGATCATTAGCACATCCACAAAAAGTAAGGTTTTTTAATTCACAAACGAATTCAAAGTCTCAGATTTTAAAGGACAGTTCTTGTAGTAGTTTCCAGACTGCGACCATCGACAAAACCAGGTGATTTTTACAACTAAAGTGATTGATGTACCTCAAACAAGTCAGCAGGGGGAGCAGGCAAACAGTTTGGAAACAAAAAATCCCAGCCTCTCCCCTTCAAACGTGGAAATAGGAGAGTCTGGAAACACAGCAAGGCCAGAATATAAAAAAGCAAGGGTTATTTATATAGAAAAGCAAGTATTTACACCAATACACGGTACAGCAAAGACGCCTCTTCCTACCATTTGAGGATTTGATGCCATGACAGTTAACACTCCTCTCTGCCCCTCTCCAAACCTTCCCATTTCTTCAGTGTCAACACAACTGTCTCTGTATTCAGTTTAGACTGCAAGTTTTGGAAGCCCAGGATTCTTATTCACTAGATAAAGCACAATTTAAATTATCAAGCAGCAGCAATTGCAATGCCCCTACACATTCTGAAACCACAGACCAAAGGACTTCCCCTTGTCAAAAAACACAGGAGTAACTTAAAACAACAACTACTACTTTACAGCTACAAAAATCCCCTTCATGGGAGCTGATCATAAACCAGTTATTTTCTGGGGGGTGCAGGCTTGTAAAATAACAGCCAGGAGATGCAAGTTGCTCTATCCATTTCAGTACTGCATTAATTTAAGAGAATAATGCAATTTACAGTTAATAAATTATTTTTTCACTATTGGTGATTTGAGAACTTGGATCTGTTCTCATCTTGCTCTGCATTTTCTCTCTGAATTAAAAAAGATCTTAGTAGATTAGAGCTGCCAAGTTCCTCTAGTCTTCTAAAAAATTTTATAAAGCAATTATACACTGACATTTGTGACATGCCCTTGAAAACAAAATTAACAAGCTGCATAAAATAAATTAAACAACCAGGTAAGCTTGGGCAAAGATAATTTTATGAGCTCATTTTTAATTTCCACATATCATTCATTAAAAGTTTCTTAAGATGTTAGTCATATTGGTATATTCTGGCATTGCCATGCCAAAGTCTCTCCAATAACTCTAAGGAAGAATTTAGGTTGAATTTGACAGGTTATTTCCACATCCTTAATCAAACTGTTGCATTATATGAACTACAGCAAAGACCAAGCAAGTACCCAGCAGCTGCTCTCCTCGACACTGGACAGACTCAGTACAGGATGATGGTCCCAGCCCTGAAGTACTTACAGGCCTCTCACCAAACTCTAATGACATGACTAATTACTTGACTGCTGAATAAAAGCACTGTAAGGGATGCACACTGCCAACCTGCACCTTATTTCCTGGGAGAAAAAAAACCTACAAACCACCACCTTCAAAACTGTGAAATTACTCCTACTCTTCAACTTCCACAGTTCACTACTGGCCAGTCAATCCAATGCTACATTAGCAGTAAAAAGAGCCATATATTAAGATTAAAAGCAATTTTACAGTTTCCCTTGAAGCGAAGGAGTAATCTCTGATTTCTTACCTGAAATTCATCAAAACATAAGAGAGCAGCCTCTTCACTTATTTCCTCTGCTACTGGTGCAATTGGGTCATATGATTTGGCCATAAGTCCTGCCTTCCTTTTTGGCAAGCTCTGCTTAAGGCGATGTATCCCTCAGTTGAGAAAACAGAAAAGAACAAGTATTTCTTATTTCTTTTTCCAAGACAGGAAGAATGAAACTATTTCACTACCTAATCAAAAGTAACCCAGTCCACTGAAATCAAGCAAGATTCAAATTTAGTCCCATTTCAAGAGGGCAAAACAGTTTTAAAGCAGATCCAGGCAATTATTAAAAGCTCAAATATTCTATGATACATATTTTTTCATTTAGAAATATGTAAAACAAAACCCAAAGAACCCTTGAGACCTATGCACCTATACTTCATCTCTTAGAAACTGATAAAAATTAGTTTTATCTTGCCTCCAAGTCATGACCTCAGTTTTAGTTTCACTTTGTAATTTGGCATTTTCTGTCTTCCAGTGCCTGAAGGGGCTCCAGGAAAGCTGGGGAGGGGCTTGGGACAAGGGCAGGGAGGGAGAGGACAAAGGGGGATGGATTTAGGTGAGACATGAGGAGGCAATTCTGGAGTGTGAGGGTGGTGAGAGCCTGGCCCAGGTTGCCCAGGGAAGCTGTGGCTGCCCCATCCCTGGCAGTGTTGAAGGGCAGTTTGGATGGGGCCCTGAGCAACCTGGTCTGGTGGAAGGTGTCCCTGCCCATGCAGGGGGTTGGGACTGGATGGCCTTGAAGGTCCCTTCCAACCCAAACCATTCCATGGTTCAATGATTAATCTTCTGAGTATGAAACATCCTTTACAAACCAATGGCACACCTCTGTGTCTTGCATGCTCTAAAGGTTTACTTAGAATGCATTTAGTTAAAAGAACCAAGACATAATAACAGGTCTATTTTAAAATGTAAAGGTGATGATACTGGCACAAAGTAAGATTATTACATCCATATTTCCCTGTCTCATGGATTATATTCCATCTGACTACAAATAAACATTCAGAAAACAGAGATCCTGCAGTAATCAACTACCTTTGTTAAGATTCAGCAGAACTGACAAGAAATGGTAACAGAATCTCCACAGTGACCCAATAATGACAGAAAAGAGGGCACTAAAAGTGGCAGAAGTTGTTTACACCCAGAAAAGCTTTCCAAGAAAACTGCAGCTGTCACAATACTTGTGAATTACAGCATTATTTAATAATCTCACAGTATTTTAAGGTGACAGAATCTAAGTTATTCACCCTGTCAGAAATTCTCTGAAACTCAGGATGAAGTTCCTTCTGTTATTTTTATCTCTAAATTACTGACAGCATCACTAAGTTGGCTAACCACAACAGTTTTCATTCTCCTGGATGATTATACCTGATGTAGTTACTGCTTATTCAAAATGCAGACTGAATTTAACCTTTACTGCTACAGTTTTAGCAATTCCTTTCTTCAGACTGCATGTAAGCTAATTGATCACTGGAAAAGATTTAGTTAATATACACCTGTTTTCTACACAATCAGGTATGCAGAATCTTTGAGAAAAAATACTTGAGAAATAATAAGCAATTAATATCTACTCTGCTATGACAGACAATGCTCAACTCCTTTAACTTCTCTCCTAATCTTTAACTCTTTTTTTTGCTTAAATAAAATCATGCTGATTAATATGAGAATGAGAAACTTTTTAATCAACACCATATTTCATAAAATTCTTGTAAATACCTGTCTGCACTTACTCTGATGTACATCTAGCATGAAGCCATGAAAATGGACTCTCTTTTTCTTTTCTACTTGTAAGTGGGAATAGAACATGTCCATCACCATTGTCTTCCCAGTGCCTTTAAATAAAAAACAAAACCCCACCAAATGGGTAGTTAATTTAAAACTGCATGTACTGATTATAATAATGATTGTTCATTAACTTTGAACTAATGAAACCATACTCTTCCACAGAATAAGACTAATACAAATAGCTCCATATGCATCCAGAAAACATCCTTGGTGTTTCCTCTTGAAAAGCAATTACATTTTCATGGTGCATTGTTGCAATTTGAATATATAAATTCTCTCCGTGGCCCCCTCAATTACTTCCCAAATTCTTAAATTGCATTCTTAAATATTAGTGAGGTGGCAATGTTGAAAAAAAAAATCTACTCATGGTAATGTAGTTCAGAATTCAGAGTGTTAAATAACATCATAATGTGCAAGAAATCTAATTCTGGAAAATTCATTAGAGCAAAAATGCTAAATAAACAAAGCTTTTGGACACTTCAGAATTTGAATTAAAAATAATAATAAATTTTTAAAAATTCCACTGAAACTGATACAACTGAAACTTACCAACATCTCCATAGACATAAAGACCTTTAGGGGGTTTGTTTCTGTCAAAAAGCTGCAAATCAAGAGAAAAAGAACACATATGAATATGGGGTAAAATAAAAGCAAGAACCTTCCTGTGGTTAAGTAAGAAAGTAGCTCCATTTAACCACCAAAGCAGCACTACCCAGCAAAGTGTAACCTTGAATAAATTATTAACTTAGCATTGGTAAGCAATCCTAATGTTGTATTGGTGCAAACTCTATAAAAGAGACCAAATACACACGCAGGCTTAGGTTGATTTCTTTTTTTAGATCATTGTCAAAATATCCCCAGACCCAGCACACAGGGCACAGAAACTGATTAAACAATTCCCAATCCCTCATCATCAAAGCAAATTCTTTTCCTCCTTAAGCCATCTGAAGAAACAGTGCTAAGAAAAAGGAAATTCAAATTAAAAGGAAATAAAATGAAACACTATTGTAATATTTTTAGATATATGCACTAGAAACCTATCAAAGCAGCTCTGCCTAAGAGATAAACATCAGGATTTAGAAAACCAGTATTGCAAAGCCACTGGGCAGTGTAGGTCCCATTTCACTCCATTTTGAATCTAAAATGCAGAATCATCTCTGGTTTAAATATCATTAAAATCAGTGGGGGTCACAGCAAAAAAATATGTACCAGTCACATGTGCCTGTGTATGTACGGATATAGATTTTTAAAAGGTTATTTTCAAAGTATGCCTTTTTCTTCATCATTTTCTCAAGTGAGTTCTGTTTATTTTTAATAAATGCTGCTGAAGGATTTTTCATCTCTTAGCATTACTCAGTACATAGGTTACAACACCTGACGGTTTATTCTATTTTACTCAAATATTTTTACATGGAAATGCTCCACATTTTCATATGGAAAAACTCACAATAACATCCAGACTTTCCATTTTAAAGTTCCCCCCAGCCCCAGTGTTGTACACAGCCACTTCCAAGTATAACTCTGAAAAGAAACAGTTGCTAGAAAACTAGAAATCCTAACAAAGCTCTTGTCAAATCCATGAAACCAAATTGACATCCACAAAACCACTGCTGAAGAGTATCTGGTTATTTTAAAGTGTTCCACTTGCCGAGTTCTATGAGCTGAGCGAAAACAGAGGAAAATTAAAATTGCAACCCTCTCTGGTCTCATTTGGAGCTGGATAATTGCTAAACAACTTGATTCTAAAGCACTTCTCAAAATATAGTGACATGGTAAAGAAACAGGGCAGGGGGGCGGCGGGAAGTTGGTTGCAAAATACTAATTAAAATGAAAGAAAATATATGACCAAAAGGTAGAAAGATAGTGTCTCAGGTCCATAGTACCAGTTCATTCAGAAAACATGCAAACATAGCTCTTATATAAGACCCACTTATAGATTTAATTTAGAGCTGTATTAAGAGGATAATAAAAATTTTGCCTCATCAATCTGTGGCTGAACGGGGCTTCAGATGTTCCGAGACCGTTCCATTAACAGACAAGGCTGCAACTATTTGCTAGTGCTTTGAAAGCACTGCAAGACAATTTAATTGAACATTTTTCAGCCTGTACTTTTTAAGAGCTTCCACTCATTAAAACTACTGATGCTCAAGAGTGACACAGCCAAGAAAGGGGGAAACTGAAAACAAATTTGAATGGAGAGACAATCAAACCTAAGAATTTCTTCGTTTTTAACTTTGCAGTCATTTTAACAAGATAAGTCTGTCACAGTAAATGTGTTTATATAAAAAGGCTGGATTAATGTGATTTGCAGTTTCACAGGGAATGACACAAAGCTAGGAAAACAAATCCATGTTTAGAGTCCTCATTTCCCTGTCTTCATAAAGGCTACATCACCAGAACAAGTAGTAATGCCTGCATTTTTATGCCTTCTTTCTTTCTCCATTGTAAAGTGTTTATTAATTACATTTAATCATCTTGAAGTTTGTCTACCTAGGTATATTTTATACTCACTCTGGTACTTACCATTTCTAGAAAACACATCACAGAAAAAAGGAAACAAATACAATGGCTTGGGCTCCATAAAATTCTAAATCAACTTCTGGTTGATTTAAAAAATGGGATTAGGGTTTTTTTGTGAAGACAGCAATTTTTGAGTGATATCTCATTGTTAAAAAAAAAAAAAGAATGGATACTGTGGCAGATCCCAACACATTTGCTGAACCTGATCATCTCTAAATTGAATGCCAGAAACACTCTTATCCTCTATAAACAATTAAAGCAGTTTGTAGTAAAAATTTTTACCTATACTTCTGCCAGAAATGACACCACTGACACCCTCAGGATACTTGCTTCCTCAGTCCTCTCTAGAGGATTAAGAATTTATTTTTATATTCTTGGGTGGGTTTTTTTAACATAGATTTTACCTTTAAAAAGTAAAGTCAATTGGTAGACTTTTAATATTGAAACTCAGACATCCTACCTGTATCAAACTATTCTGCATGATCACAAAATGGATATTTTTTTATTATTACTTGTTAGATTATTCTCCTGCATCTTCTGAAGCCTGGAAGTTGCATAAGAAAAAGAGCAATTTCCATTAGGATTTTTTTATAAATTCCTGTCATGCTGTTGGTTCAACTAAGAGCACAGCAAGCAGCCAGGAAAGTCAGTGGTTTGAGGCGGGGGGGGAGGAGGCGATGGAGGGCAGAGAAAGGAGAAGACTGATCTTGGTCCTACTGAAACACAATCTCCCAAAGAAGGAGAGAGAAGATCCAATGCAGAGGATCCTCCAGTTACCCTAAAATTGCTTATTTCAGGGAGAGAAGGGAGAAAAGTGGGAGATGTAGGAATATAAATTAAACAAATTAGCTTCTTCTCACTTATATATTATCCTGAGGAGTATCTGGGCTCTAAGTATAATCCTATCCAAATGGTTGACAATAAATTTGCTTTTGAGCTGTGGTAAGGTTGATTTCAGGATGTTAAAGCAAATGTTTAAATGTACAAAACCAAAGATATCAAGGGATGCACAAAACAGGAATTTGAAGGGGAGAATTTTGAAATCCATAGACTTATGTTTTGAATGCTTCCAAATGAGGGCATCACCAGAGATGTGTCAAATCCCTTCAGTCCTCCAAGTTTCTTAATTCCCATGGCATTCTTGGCAATACTTTCAGAAAGCACAACTTCACTGTTTTGTTACCATCAGGACATGAGACAGGAGGAGCTTTTTTCCCTTTCACAGATCAGTTTAAATATAGAAAAGTTTTTTTAATCATTCATATGCTAAAATATTGACAATTCCACAAGACAACACACACATCCGTGTCCCCAGATTTACAGAATTTTCTCTTATCAAAATGCTTTACACGTTTCTGTTTCAAAACTGCATGCCTTGCTTTGATTGGGTTGCATCACATTTCTCCTTTTTGTTTAAACTTCACTTAAATCAATGAATATCCTCCCTCATCTAGGGAATTACATTGGTGAAAACATCTCCTTCATTCTGACAACCTCCTAATCTAAGCATCGCAGGGGTTGGAAGGGACCTCTGAAGATCATAGGGTCCAACCCCCCTACCAGAGCAGGAATACCCAGAGCACATCACACAGGAACATGTCCAGGCAGGTCTTGAAAGTCTGCAGAGAAGGAGACTCTAAAACCTCTCTAGGAAGCCTGTCCAGGGCTCTGTCCCCCCCACAGGAAAGAAGTTTCTCCTCATGTTGAGGTGGAACTTCCTGTATTGTCACTTGGTGCCATTTCCCCTTGTCCTATCACAGGCACCACTGAACAGAGACTGGCCCCTTCTTGACACCCACCCTGCAGGTATTTATAGGCATGAATTAGATCCCCCCTCAGTCTTCTCCAGACCAAACAGCCCCAGGTCTCTCAGCCTTTCCTTGTATGACAGATGTTCCAGTCCCTTCATCATCCCTGTAGCCTTCCTTGGACTCTTTCCAGCATATCCATTTCCCTCTTGAACTGGGGAGCCCAGAACTGGGCACAATAAATAATTTCTTCCTTAAATAAGTTTAATAATGTGCAATGTCTTCCCACCTTCTCCCTACCTCAAACACGAGAAGCAAGCAACTCACTTCCTGGGAAGATTTACGCTCTGATTAGAAAAATCTTTTAGAGTGAAAATGCATGTCAGTACTAGGATGGTTAATTAAAATACGCAAAAATCAAGAGACAAGCCTCCAAACCACAGATTTCTTTTTTAAACACTAACAAAACTGCCTCCTTCTCCCACTCTTTCAGGCCTTCTTTTCGGTTGCTGTTGTAGCTGAAGACATTTTCAAGGCCTTGAATGGTGTTTACTATTGTTCATACCTCTTTTCAAAACATGACCTCACCTATAATTGAGCTTATTTCAAGTCATTAGTACAGCAACTCAACGACTCTTAAGATGCCCCAATTGGCATTATTATTGAAAAGCTAGACATCTGAAACGCCTGCGCAAACTCTTACAGCCTTGAACTTCAATTCAGAGACTCTCAAAACATCTACACACAAGGCCATGCTTTCATCAAGTTGAAGATCAAAGTCATTGTTCAAATTTGAGTAATAATTTTGAAAATCAGCAAGACTCCTTCTTTTTACCTCTCAAATTCATTCCAAGCTGATGCCCCAAAAAACCTACATCATTAATAAAAATTAGAGAGTTTTATTACCAGGAAGGAAATGGCTTCTGCAGTGTAGGGTTTCCCTGGACCACAGATTTCAGAAAGCTGTGTGAGGGTGATGAGACACTGGCCCAGGTTGCCCAGGGAAGCTGTGGAAGCCCCATCCCTGGAAGTATTGAAGGGCAGGTTGGATGGGGCTCTGAGCAACCTGGGCTGGTGGGAGGTGTCCCTGCCCATGCAGGGGGTTGGAACTGCATGATCTTGAAGGTCCCTTCCAACCCAAACCAGTCTGACTCTATGATTAATGCAAAGGCAGTATGGTTACTAAGGTGCTGTGCAACAGGGATATGTCTGAATTTTTGTTAATAGTTTGATAAGGGGCTGTGATGCCACCCAAAACACAACTGCTTTCTTTCCTTACCTCACCTGGAGGCTAACAATGCTGGAAAAAACAGATGTTTTTAAAAGTCATGTTTGATCTATATTGAGAATTAAAACCTGGTCTAGGCCTGTTGCTCCTACAGACAAATAACATTTTTGGAAAAGCAGGCAGTGGACAGAACTAAACTAGTATCAGAATTTCCTATAGAACTATTTCAGTAATATTTAATTTGGTTACTTCTAGAGTGCCACAATGATCTATCTGTAGAAACTCAGCTGCAAAAATAAAAGTTGTGTTAATGACAAATTGATGTATTTTAAGCACATTCATATAAGCAAATATAAATGCAAAAAAAAGCATTGTTATTATTATGAACCTCACCTTTGAGAGAAGATTTTTTGAACTGATGCTGTAGCCTTTAAGGCTCTCATGCAACTTCTGCAGGTGCTGCACAACTCTTCTTTGTTGCTCATCATTTCTTAGCTCTTCTTGCTTAATCAGAAAGTTGTAATGTTCTAAAGGTCCATTGCAAACCAACAAGGCCCTGGCGTTAGCATCTGTAAGGGTACCAGAGCCTGTCTTCTCATCTGCTTGAGCTGTGTATGCTGTAAAATGAAAAGCAGCTTATTAATACAGAAGTTTGGGAAAGCATCCTCTTATATTCGTTAAAACCACACATTCTTAACAGTTTATACAAAGAGGTATATATATTACTTACCTATACAACCACTAGAATATGTTACCCCTTCATTTTTCCTTACATCAACTTCTAACTTCAGCAGCAAACCCCTCTAACAGTGTGGTTTAACTTTAATTTTTAATATTAACAAGCACACACAGTAAAAAGCCCATCTTGAGGGCTGGGTAAGATTTGAATGAGCTGTTGCAATGCAAGTTTTGAGGCAAAGTGCATTTTTCTGAAGAGATGAACCCTTTAGCAAGTGGTAGGCTTAAGTAGCCAGAAAGGATTAAAAAAGCAGAAAACAGGAGCCCAAAACAGGGGCTCTATAAGGAAACTGAGATAACAAGACCACACTAAGCAAAGCAATAGTGGTGAAGCCCTGCAGAGCCACAGCCTGCTCTGCTGACACATAAAACTAGGAAAGGAAAACATACATAATGAAAAAGAAGACTCGCTAAACCAGCAAGATCAGAAACTTAACAAGGGAATACACTAAAAAGTGCTCATTTTCTTCCTTGCTTCTATCATTTGAAAGTTTAAGTTTAATCTGGAGTAACACAATTTGTAGCAATAATAAAAAAATAGGTTTGAGTAGGAAAAATGTGTATCATAGACTACATAGTTAAATATTTTGAGCTTTGTGAGATCTAAGGAAATAATCCCTAACTGCTTTAAGTTTCCTAACACAGTGGCCTCTAACAGGTTTCTTTCAGGCCCTGCTGAAGACTGGTGAGGTTCCAAAATATTAGGAAAATGAAGCCATTTTTGTCATTAAAAAAGGAGAGAAAGGCAAATCTAGAAACCCATAGGTCAGTTAAAACAAATTCAAAACACTCAAAAATACTGGAACAAGCAGAAGCAGGTGACAGACAGATAGACAGACAGACATATAAAGCACTCAATAAGATAACAACGTAACAAAGAAAAGGCAACATTAGCTGCTCAGGATCAGCCTGAAATCAAGTTTTCCTCTCTGATCAGGCAACATGCTCAGTGGATAGAGGAAAACCATCTTAACTGCAGTAACACTTTTGTCATTGGGTCACATAGCAGATTCATACATAAAAAAATCAAGTCGCAAATGAAATTACTTTTGAGCAGGTACAAAAACAGCTAGAAAAACTCAATGTAATGGATAATTACTACAGTTAAACTAGGTTTGTGTTTCCAGTAGTTTCAGAGGGGGTTCTGAATCTCTTCTTGGTGCAATCCAGAATTTCCTGGATTTTCTGACCTGTATATGGCAAAATAAAGCACATGGGCTGGGAATATAGATTACATCAAGTCAGGAGGGGGCTGCAAACACCCTGGAAGGCAAGGCAACTCTGAGGAACTGGACAAAGAATCTAATACAAATAGGACACAATTCAGCAGGGATAAAGTATAGTGCTCAGGGGAAATAACTGATGAGGTGGGCAATGACCAACTCAAGAGCAGCTCTGCAGAAAAGGACCCAGGGTAAAAATAAAATTAAAACCCACAAGTACCCTGATGTATATACATGAGGGGCAATATAAGAACACATGAAAAAAAAAAAAAAAATCCTATTTGATACTGGTAATCTGCCCCAGAACACACTTTTCAATTTTCATACCATATTTCCTGAGGTATGAACTACATGGGAAACTACAAGATGACTTGAAGGACTATTTGTTAAACCATGGGTCACAACCCACAGAGAAGTTGTAAGAGGCACAAGAAGAGTTTTAAATTCTTAAATGAAACATAAAATTAATATAGTTATGAAAGAGAAGGATGAAACTGAATAATTAGACCAAATTATATTTATTGCAAGTAACACCTTAGTTTCATAGAATCCTAGAATACCAGGTTGGAAGAGACCTCAAGCATCATCTGGCCCAACCTCTCTAGGCACTGCTCTAGTTGACATGAGGTGGCTCAGCTCCCTGTCAAGCTGAGACTTCAAACTGCTCAATGTGGGGGAATCCATCACTTCCCTTGGGAGACTATTCAATGTCTGACTGTCCTCATGGGGAAACATTTACCTCTTGTGTCCAACTGGAATCTCCCCAGGAGCAACTTGTGCCCATTCTTCTCCAAAGCAAGACAGTCACTGGTCACATCTGCAGTCAAATTACATTGAATTCTCCTGCCCTGAAGGAACTGAGTTCCTGCTATGAATTATAAGTAATTAGCTGATCCCTAGCTAAAGACATGCCATAAAGAGAGTTGAGTTCAAAGTCTGTTATTGCAAAATTTTTAGTAAAACCTTCAGAGAGGACTAAAGAAAAGCACTTAGCTATCTCCAGATACACACAGGTAACTGAGAAAAGGAAATACTGTATTTATACAGTTACTTTAGTAACTGGTAATTAAGCCGGTGCAATTGATTAATAGTCTAGAAGTTGGAAAACTTGCATTGATAGTGAATTTTAAAAATAAGTTTGACAATAATCTGTCAGGAAGAGGTCAGCAATGCCTGACCTGCCTCCAAGGGAACGGGAATAGGCAGAGAAGATCATACAAACCTAGAGTGGTTTGGGTTGGAAGGGACCTTAAAGACCAACTAGATCCAACCCCCCTGCATGGGCAAGGACACCTCTCTAGAATTACTGTAGAAGATCTACAGTTTTTTCATTATTTTTTTTCCAACCATTCCACTGCCACAGAAAGTCAACCTCAGTCATGTCATCTGTACCTCTGAACCACCTTGGCAACGTGTAGAGCTTGACTGCTCCAAAAGCACCTGTGTGAGAGACAGCCTGTGCCCCATGATACCTCTAAAGCCACCAGCTCCTACTGCTTACCACAAGATTGGAGAAGAAAAAACAAAAGCTGATTTAGGGATAAGAAAGGGTTTGCAGCTCATGACCTTCCTGGCCACAGACAAAGCACACCAGTAGGACTGCTCAGAAACATGTTTCTTGTCTCAGATTACATGTACTTATAGCTAACTAACTGTGCTGGGACTGGAAGAAGATACTCCTTCAGTAACAGATGACAGAGCTGGAGAGTATGCACAAGTGATGACAGAGTGTGTCATGGGACAAATTACTCACTGTTATCCTAAAATAATATTGGGATTTAAAGCTGAGATTTAAATATTATGGGGGTACACCATAACACACAACCAGGAGATACCCAGTAACTGGTAAGTAATAAACTCCAACTTGCAGCTGCAAAAAAGGCACTCTTAAAGTGTGGAGGAGGAGCTTTAGAGGTAAGTCAACAGAAAACAGCTATTCAAGTGATCAACTATTCTAAGAGACAAAAAAAATAAAAGTGGGTCTTCCCTTTTAACCTTCATTTTGTGGAATACATTGAAAAATCATTGACACAACTCTACTGCTTAATTATTCCAGAACTTATGAAGAAAAGAAAGTAGAAATGTTAATAATTAGCAGAGGAAAACCAGACAATTACCTTCCACAAGTTTACATCGAGGAAACCACTCTTAGAATACGAATCACCCGTGATTCAACACATTAAGGTCCTACAGCCTCCTCCTCCATGCAATAGATAGGTTCTTATTTATCTCATTTCATTATCTTTGTATTACATAAACTGCTATTAGATTTTTATTAGGTTCCTTCTGAAATCTTTAAGTCACACACAGAGAAATCATCCTCTATCTCTAGTGCTCTAGATACAGCTAGAGAAAAGCACAGTGTCAATTCATTATTCACCTGGTTTTCTATAAAACAGTGTAAAACTACAGACATGCACTTATCCATAACATATCTTTTCCTCCTTGGTGGCGCAGGAGAGTGTGGGATTGTTGCCACATTCAGCCTGACACTCCTTGCTTTTTCATGAGTTGCTACCAGGTTGCTCCTTTTTGTTAAATTCCTATTCCTAAAAATCTCACTTTCTTTTAAGCCATAAAATTAGCTCCTTACATTTGCCTTTCTGCTTTCCTATCCAAGGATCACAGCCCAAGCTGCAACAAAGACCTACTGCAATATAAACAAAAAAAAATCCCTGCTTTGGAGAAACCCCAGAGGAAAAACTCACAAAAGCCAAAGAATTTTTTTAAATGCCTAATGAAAATGCCAACCTGAAATCATAAAAATTTCCTTTAGAGTGGTAAATTTAAGACATCTTCAGTAAACTGGCCTTAATTCATCACTGCAAAGGTAAGTGCCTACATAAAAATATGAAGTGTTCTTAACTCCAGGGACCTTCTGCTCTGGAAAAGAGCAGCAAATTGAAAAACTAATCAGTATGTTGTCAAGTTTTTCTACTGCCACTTAGAATTGATGGCTGAGATGACAGAGAAAAAAGGCACATGAGTTTCAGTGATGCTGTGTGTGAAAGCAACAGCCCCAGCTGAGGCAGGCACTGAAGTTATTTATGTACAGAGACAATCTAAAATGGAAGCTGGGTTGGGGCATCTCAAAACAGATCCGGACAGCAGCCAGGAGGCTCAAAGCATAGAGGAGTAACCCTGGTAATCCTTATTTTTTTCCTGGCTTGGATTTCATTAGGTGAAGTTTTGAACCATGATGTCTAAAGTTTGTCAGAAGAGAATGCTCATGGAAAAACAAAAACCAAAACCAAACAACAAGCCAGGCAGGTCCTTGTTTCCCCCACATTTCAGGGCCGAGGCAAAGAATCTGGGCTTCCCTGATACGAATTTCATCTTTGCTTATCTTTCCATGATTGCAGAAATTAACACATTTGAATTCGTTAAATAATCTGCAAATTTTCAAGTAACATGAGAAGATTTATTGTGAATTTAAGATAACCGTTCACTTCTGGAAGAGAAAATGTGTTGTACTTCCATAGATTAATTAAAATGTGGTCTGCAAGATCTCTTACTGCCCCCGAAATAAACATCTTTTAAACACATGATTAGAATTGTAGACCTTTAAATGGGATGAAAACAAAACAGGACAGAGAGCTAATACCCAGTTAAAGAAACAAAGATAAAACAATGGAACTGAACTCCTTTTATTGCAGAAGGTAAAACCATGGTTCAGCTGACAATATTCACCTCACTAGAAGGCCATTCACATACAGTACCCAAAAAATGTGTATTATTCATTCTGGAGATAAAGTTGAAAAAAGCACTTTAAGGGACTAACAATGAAAAAAAATAAAATCACCTTTAATCCTTGTGCTCTATGTGTGCCTCATGGATATGACCAGAAACAGTTTTTCTTCATGGAGATGAAGGCTGGAAGACAACATTGACCTAAGTATAAGGGAAGTTAAGTGTATCTAATTACCCCTGAACTACACTCAAGAACTGTGTTTGATTACAGCATATTTTGAAGCAAATGTGTTCTGGAGACAAAAGAGATGACGAATTAATCATTTCCTATGACACTTTGCCATAATGGCTTGTTACTGTTTGTCTGAAAATAAAAAATATTGCCAACTCACAGTTGTTTGAGAACTGCATCTAAACCAAACACATGGAGGTTATAACTGCACCAAAGCTAATGGCCCCAAAATCACTCATCTGCCACCTCTGCTAACAGTCACAAGCAAGAAGCTGGCACAGCTTCTGCTAAACCAGTGTTAAGGCAATCACACCTGTACAGGAATCACGTCTGTTCCTGCCTTCAGAGCTTTCCACAAACACAGGAATTTGAAAGGTGGGGAGGGAGGGCACATAGTAAAAAGCAGCTTTTAAAACCTGTCCAGTTTTCAGCAATCCCAGCTGAAGTTCAGAATATTAATCTGGGTTACAATGAAGCCAAACTGCTTCAAATCCCCAAACTTTTAACATAAAGCTGCTAAAATTGCCTACAAAACACAGCTGCCATGACAGAAGAGGACTTTGAAGTCAGAGGGCACTTTTATCAACAGGCAGCTAGTGGTTATCAAAGATCTGGCTAAACAGATAATGAAGCTGATAACAGTACTGCTGCAAAAGCTTTTGCTCTCAAGATGATACCACAGCCATGGGGAAAAGCAAAGGTACAGCCTTGTAGCTCCAAAAGTTACTCTCCTGCAGAAGAATGGAAGTGAAGGTAACAAAAGATCAAAAAAGATAGGGTTTTTTGCATGCTGGTTGTGTAGTTAATAATAATGTTCTCTTGCTCGTCTCTTATTACATGTATGTGCAATTTTGCAGAATCAGTCTCAAACAAGCAAACTGTCCCATGATGTACAAGAATTTGTATGAGTTAAGCACAGGCTATGAAGCGAAAAACATGCATAAACCTGCAGAGGAACAAAGATGTGGCATGTAAGATTCTCAGGGAGGAGATGATGCCTTGGTTATAAAGCAGAAAACACATTTATAGTCCTATAATAACATCAAATAATTGCTCCCTCCAAAACATTTTAAAATGCTTAGTAAGAAGAATGGGAGAGGAGGTCATCTGAAGAAATTATTTACTTTCCAACATTTCACAGAATGCTTAGAAAAGCAAAGTCCAATCAACCCATATTGATGGGGAGAGACTAAGTTATCTGCACAAACTGAAAATGTTGCATGAGTACAAAACAAATGAGAGAAAAATACACCTGCTGAATTGGGCAGTTCAAATCAGAAGAGGCAGGTTGCAGCTGAGATACAAGAAAAAGAACTTGGAGTGTTCTCCTGTATTTGTCTCATTACAGGACTTGGATGAATCACTGAACCCCTGTTTAGCCTCCTTGCAGTTCATTCATTTAGGCAGGATATGTAGCAGTGCTTCAGCTTCTAGAGAAACATATGAGCTAGAACCAGAATTCTGCTTTTTTGCAGACATGCCTGTGACATTATTCTGAATTAAGATTAATTGTATTATTTCCATGCACACCCCATTTAACAATCTGACCTACAGATGAAAGCAGAAAAAGGCAGAAAGGTTTATCAGCAAAATTGCAACTTCAAATACTACTTGTGAAGTTTCTTTGTTAAGGAAAAGGTACAGAAGTGTGGAAAGCAAACCACAAAATGAAAACAGGTAAAAGCCAGTGATCATAAAACGAAGATCACAGATCAATCCAATGATGGCCGCAGATGTCCTCAAATACCACCTGTCAGGAACACCTTCACTTTAACATGGAAGCTGAAGAACTACATCTCAAAGCCACTAGGTTTGCTCTGATAGCTTTTTAAAAATGGTGCTATGTTCATTATAAAAGACAATCTACAGAGATTTAAACTGTTAGATCAATATCAAACAGAACATATAGAACTATAGTACGAACTGCAGTGCTTGCCTGTTTCCCATAGGGTGCATAAACATTGTACAATCACAATAAAATCAAATTAAGTGTACATGAACACTTATCATAGAATTGTTTAGGTTGGAAAGGACATTCAAGACCATCCAGTCCCACCCCCTGCATGGGCAGGGACACCTCTCACCAGCCCAGGTTGCTCCAAGCCCCATCCAACCTGCCCTTCAACACTGCCAGGGATGGGGCAGCCACAGCTTCCCTGGGCAACCTGGGCCAGGCTCTCACCACCCTCACACTCCACAATTCCCTCCTCATGTCTCACCTCAATCTCCTCTCCTCCAGTTTTCATCCATTCCCCTTGTCCTCTCCCTCCCTGCCCTTGTCCCAAGCCCCTCCCCAGCTTTCCTGGAGCCTCTTCAGGCCCTGGAAGGTGCTCTAAGGTCTCCCTGGAGCCTTCTCTTCTCCAGGCTGGAACACTCCAACTCTCCCAGCCTGTCTCCAGAGCAGAGCTGCTCCAGCCCAAGGATCATCTCTGTGGCCTCCTCTGGCCTCTCTCCAACAGCTCCACGACCATTGCTCCTAGACCTGCTGACTGCCTTTCAGACCCCTGGGAGCACCTCAACACAACCCCCACACTTCTGCCAGGCCAGCAGAGAACCAACAGCTCTCCCTAAAGTCAAAGCACCTCTGCTCCTTACCTAACCCTCACCTTAACCAAACCTAGCCCACCCCCCAACGCATTTGCGCATCAGACCGTGTTAGTAAAGTTGCTCTACCCACCGAAGGATCCTTTTTTTGGGGGGGAAAACCCCCTCAGACACCAAAAGAACAGAGGACGCTGTGGCAGGCCGGGGCCGGCTCCCCATGCAGCCACAGCGCCGTGACGCCCTGCTCACTACGGGAAGGCTGCATCCTCAACCTGAGAAGCCTGGGGACGGACACAGGGCCCCTCCGGGACCACCGGGGTGGGGGGACATGAAGACACAGGGCACAGCAGGGCCGGTGACGCGTCCCGCCGGCTGTCTCCTTCCCTACCCGCCCAGCAAACCCCGTTCCCCGGGGCCCAGCCGCAGGAGGAGGGGAAGCGGCACTGACCTGCCCGCAGCCCGACGGCCCGTCCCGGCGGCAGGCGGGCCCCGCTCCCCGCCGCAACCCGCAGCAGGCACCGCGCGGTCACCAAGGGCGACGCGGCCGCCGCCATCTTCCTGCCCTCCCTCCTTCCCGCCCGCCGCGCGGGGCGCGCCGGGAAATGGAGTCCGCCCGCCTGAGGCGCCGCGGCCGCTCCTGCCCTTCGCTCTGCCTCCCCGCTCACGTCTGGGAGAAACAAAGCGTTGTTTTCGCATCCCAGCGTTAGCAGCAGAGCGTTGGGTTGTGTGTTTTTAATATATATATCCCCTAGTGTTAGGGATATAATAGTTTGTTGAAGAGAAGTGAGATTCCAATCACACCTGGGGTGGTTTCACGGTCCAAGGAACCGAATTGGGCTCCATCTGGGGGATGATGGAGCAGGATTGATGGCCCAGGTCAGACCCAACAGAGCCCCTTCTTGTCCTGCTCCTCGGGGCTGGGGGACACCAGAGGGTCGTTGTGGGGACTGGGGAGACAGCCCAGGGGGCAAGAAAGGTCAGAATTAGACCTCTTAAAGGTAAAAAGTGACCTGCTGGAATGGGATGTGTGAACCGGGGGCAGGAAACTTGTAGGATCATTAGAAGCTTCGGAGAGGCTGTAAACCCTGGAGCGCCCAGGGGAGGGAACTTTGCGTGGGGGAATATGGAATATAAAGCGTTATTCACCTTGTTATGGGTGTGCCTGCTTGTTTGGGTCAATGCCAGACGGTCAATAACCCGTGCTCGGCTGAAGGACCCATCCCTTGGCGCCACAAAACGTTCCTCGCACATCCACGTGCTTTCTAAACAAGCATTTCTTCACAGAAAGGGGTGGTAAAGCGTTGGGACAGGGAGGTGGTGGAGGTACCATCCCTGGAGATGTTTAAAAAATAATTTTAAAAAAGGGTAGACGTGGTGTTTGGTAAAAATGAGGTAGTGGTTAGGGGTTGTAGGGGTGGATGGTGGGACTTGGTGGTCTTGAAGATCTTTTCCAGCCTTGACAGGTCTATGATTTGCATCTTGCCTGGTGGCTGTATCTGCTGCAGGAGCTTTCTGGCCAGCTTGGCAACTGTTGGTTTTTCAGTTTGGCGACTCAATTTGTGTTTTGTCAATGATTTGTAGATGGTGTTTGCTTACCTCTAAAAGCATGGACCATAAAATACTAAGGACAAGTATTTGTAACATATTAAGGACAAAGAATCCAGGCCACAGTTACAGCCTATCTGCACATTAGCAGTGCAACTGCTTCAATACCTATGAATATGTATTTAAACCACAACAGCAAGATACATTAATGTAAAAAGCAACTTCCCTGAAGCTAAAGCAAAACCCAGGGGCTGATTCAGCCCTTGTATGGCCAGTGTGTGCTCAGCCCCACGTGGGGCTCCTGGGGGCCTGGGCAATGCTGATGGACTGTCTCCTTCCAGAGGCACCTGATTTCTGATACAACCATCTCCAGTGTGACTACAAAGCTCTTTTGATGCAAAAAAAAATAATAGCTGATGGTCCAAGGGAAAGGCACCGGCACTCAGGAATCGCTAACCATAATCATACAATCAGAATGGTTTGGGTCAGAAGGGACCTTCAAGACCATCCAGTCCCAACCCCCGGCATGGGCAGGGACACCTCCCACCAGCCCAGGTTGCTCCAAGCCCCATCCAACCTGCCCTTCAACACTGCCAGGGATGGGGCAGCCACAGCTTCCCTGGGCAACCTAAGCCAGGGTCTTACCACCCTCACAGTGAAGAATAATACTCACCTGTTCACGGGCTGCCCTTCTTTTTCCATCAGAAATACACCCAAAGGTAAGGATGGGACTTCAAAAGGTGTTGCCTACAGAGGGCATAGTGCAAGGAATAGATAGCAGTGTGTCTCCTCATGGTCAAAGAGCCAGGGAAATGCTTTAACTGACCTTTGGTTTGGCCATGTCAGAATTCCCATACCTTATTTTAGTGTTAAGTTTCTCTTATAAGAGCAAAGCAAAACGTGACAACAAAGCACTGTAGAATGGCTTGCAAACAGGAGTTGATTATATCCTGAATAGTACTGCTAATTTTAAAAATAATGTTTATGATCCTGAAAATACCAAATGACTGAGGTTCTGTTCTAACATGTTCAGCTGTTTTAAAATAAGTAGTTGCTCCAGACACATCTTCAGTGCTATATAACTAATTAAGTAGTGAGCCAATTAAAAAGAGATGTTTTCAGTGCATTTTCTTTCATCATTCCTTTTTTGAGCATTTATTGGTTTTGACTCATTCTAGCATGTTACAGCTATCAACACCTGTGCCCATTTAGGAATGATTCTCAGTACAAATCACAGCGTGTTGAATAGATGTCTCAAAGATGCATCACAATTGTTGCAATATTTTTAGAAACTCAAACAAGGAAGCAAACAACTTGAGTAAAAGCAATTTAAATATCAAATAACTTATCTTTATAAACAGCTTATCTCCTTGAGAACAAACGATAAACAAGGCAACAAGAGCCCTTTTTTCTTCCATTATTAACTCAGATCACAATACAAATGGGTGAAATGTCAAGAATAATTGGAGAAAATGACAGCATAATCTTCAGAAAAAAAAACCAACACCCATCTGATTTATTTAAATTGTCACTGGTTTTTTCTTAACCTTGTTATCCAAACTTCCTACTTGGGTCTGTTCTGACATCTCCTACCTACGTGAATAAACCTGCTGCAATGCTGAGTCTTCTTCTCACTGGCAAACTCTGAAATCCCACCCCACACTGTACTGAACACCCCAGGAACTGGCTGTAAGTATTTGGCAAAACCACAGTTTGGTGTTACCCTAAATGAACAGGACTTTCAAGCAGACTTTTCTAGATTAGCATGGTTGATGTCCTGCAACAGACAGAGATCCGTGGCACATCTGTGCTTCATACCCTGTACCTGAACCTTTGCTCACCTCCCAAAATGGGACATTGCAACTGTGTAGTAATTAAACTGACATTTGTTCAACCCAGCTGCATAATTATTGCTAGTCTGCCAGCTAGCCAAAGGTGTGGGTGGTCTTTAACAGGAATAAAAATTAGGGGTTTCATAAAACCCCTCTGGCCTCTAGTGGTAAAATCTCCACTCCTAGAAATCTTGATGTGCTGAACCCTATGGGGATGGATCCAGGAGTCTTTGGGTACCTGCCAGACACTCTCCAAGCTTCAGCAGAAAGAGGGCAGGGTTTACCTGCCTGCAAGGCTCCAGGACATTCCCACCAGGGGAAACAACTCTGGCTCCCAAATATACATGTACTTTTGATATAGAATTGACCATCCACCCAACTCTAAGCAAATGGATTTTGTGGCTGATTTTCATCAACACAGTTCCCATCAAAAGCCATTTTCCTGGGATTATATCAAACTACTCTGGAGTAAATTTGATAATAACCTAATAATTTTGAGACATCAAATATGCTATTAACAATCTACATTGCTTATCAAGCCTTAGATTAATAAAGCTGCATAAATGTTCCTAAACTTATGCCTTAAAGCCATTTTCACTGTTTTTACAGCTTGCATCTCAGTCAGCTGAGATGTGTTGGAAATTAATTGCAGTTTTGCAGCTGCACAGGCACTACTCAGCATCTCTCAGAACAAGTCACCGTAGAAATGAACACCATGAGGTGGTGGATGACGATTTAAACATTAAGAATCTAGAAGCCTGTATGAGGATCATCTCTTATTGAAAGGGATAATACTGTGTAAGAAGGGAGATGAGGAACTCAATAGAATAGATAAATCTCAGCACATATATAATGTGGGTATTAGAAATTACATTTGTATGCCTAATATTTTACATAGCAGGTAAGTGCTATTCCCTCACACTGGGCAGTTTGAAGTCTCAGCTTGACAGGGAGCTGAGCCACCTCATGTCAACTAGAGCAGTGCCTAGAGAGGTTGGGCCAGATGATCCTTGAGGTCTCTCCCAACCTGCCATTCCTGGATTCTTTGGTTCTCTAAGCACACAATGCAGATTTTCAAACCCGATGTTTCAAAGCACTGGCAGCTAATGCAGGGATCAGGAAGTGACTTTTCCACATGAAGCATTGCACAATTCATTCAAAGCCTTGTGGGTTTTGCCTTCTCCTGAGTCAGCATTCCCCACAAGTTTTGACAAATATGCCTGTGTTGGCTAAAATGTGTTAACCTGGGCAGTTGTCATAAGAGTCCTACCTGGATAATGGAGAGATTTGGTTTCTTTCCCAGTTAAACCTTACTTTTTCTTTTTAAAAATGAAGAAACAAACAAAAAACTACTTGAGAGATATTACTCTACCAAATTTGAGAATTAATAATCCATTAATACCTGCTTCTATGGATTCATGATATGAGACTCTGTTATTCATATTGCCACTTGGGAGTTATGCCAGAAAATCTTTGTGCCACAGTTGAATAAATAACGTGTAGTAACAGATCCACGAGCACCTAATCTTGTCACTGTTGCCCTAAATGCTTGATTTCTTACATCTAATCTTTGGACCTACAAACACAGCTGACCTCTCTCCCATCCAATTTGAAATCTGGCCCAAAGTTCCATGTGAAAGTAAGAATCGAAACTTTCATTTCTGAATTTCTGCTCACCTTCATCCTGCGAAAAAAACCCTTCTAGTGAGCAGAAGCAATGACAGATGGTTGACGTGTCTTATGGATCACAAAATCCATCAGAAACACAATTCCAAATAAACAAATGCATTTTCTGAGGGTTGAAGGGAAACCAGGAGGCTCCCAGGACTCTTGATTTTTCCCTCACCGTTGATCCTTCTCTTTGCCTCGTCAGCCTGTGTGCTATGCAGGCTTTCACATGATGTTAGGGGGGGCATCTTCCCCTTTGTCTGCCAGGTCAGAGGGTTTGTATTTGACCTCAAGGAAAAGAAAACCAGAGATGGGAGTCCTCACCAAACCCCTGTAACCTCCTGACTTACCACTGCTATGGACACAGGGGCACCATGCATCCAGCACGTGAAGAAATTACATTCTTGATTCATCTAACTTCCCAAATCCACACTATTTGGCATTTTTGTTTCTTTGGAACACATGCTGAAACCAGGCTTGGCCAGGAGGCAGAAATATCAGTGCTTTTA